ATAAATCTCTGCCACTGACGCTCTTTTTTCACTTAATAAACTAGAGAAGCCCGTATGATCCCCCCCCCCCCCCCCCCCCCACTGTAACCTTTCAAAACAAACATTTTTTTTTTCACTTAATGCAAGAGGCATTTTTTTTTTTCTTTTTTCAGTTTCTGGGAGCACTGACCACAGAACTCGCAGAATGTTACTCAATCCTTCGGCACGTGTTGCCTGCATAATGCAGACAAAAATCGTGAAGAGACTGAGCCCATCTGCGACATCAAAGAGAGACGGAGTTGCAAGTCCTCGTCTTTTTGTGCATAAGCGATTCAAGATAGCGTACGCCTAAGAAGAGAATCTAAAGATCAAACGCCAACCCAGATAAGAGTTCTGCCTAATGGACGGCCCGTCACGTTTACCTGACGTCCATTAGACAGAACTCAAGAGAGCAGACATCTATTCGCGACTCCAGCAAAACGGACGCCACCAAGCGGGAAAACCGGGAACCAGCCGGTCCAGGTCGCTCCGCGCCCCTCCGCGTTTCTGGTGGCTTTCGCGGACACGTGTAGTCGGCGCGATGGCGAACAGTGTAATTTCACGAAGGTCCGAAAATTTCTTAAGTTTGCTTGAGTGTTCATTAGTGTGGTGAAGCCTCAGTAGATTTTTCCCACCCATCACGTATTTGAAAGCCCGTTTACTCCACAACACACGATCGCGTGCTTTCGATTTCTTGGATGGGGAGGAACCGCGGAAAAACGTTTCGATTTCTTGTCTGCCTCAAATCACTATCAAAGTGACGACTACTTGATAACTGATAAGGAGTTTCTTTATAAAAATGTAGAACAGTGGGAGGACGACAGACGAGGCATTTCACTGGAGGAACACCAATGTTGCAGTCAAGTGAATGGGAAGGTACGATAGCTGCCGTTCTTAAATTGTGTTCGATTAGCTTCAAGTTTGAGCCACCCACGCCGGTCGGTGCGCTGGATATTCATCTTGGCTGCTTTTCGCCGAAAAAGCCTCTGGACCACTCTGAAGGAGTTGGGCTGATTTCGCAATTACTTGATTCAGGAAAACCTGCTCGCTGCAAATGGTGAATGAGGGAAATTATCTGTTTTCAAAAGGTGGGAGACGCATCTCGCAACGTTAGAAGCTGTCACGGCATTATGATCTATTGTGCCTCCAATATTTATATTATACCCCCGTCGAATTAAGCCAGCAGCAATATACGTCTACATTGCTCAGGTTGACCGGCCACAAAAATACTTATTTGATCCGTTCAGGATTTGAAGTCAAGTTCAATGCAGAGAGGTTCTGCGTGAATCTCCAATGAAGGCTCTCTTCAGTTCGTCCGGATTCGTCTCCGTGCTGCCGGCTAAAACTATTTGGCTAAGTTTAACTTAGTACCCCTGTCTGTCAAATATACTTTTATTGAGCAGTTCACCTAATCGCTGGTTAACTAAGCTCATTTTTCAAACCGAAGAATATACTAATATCGCTTTAGTGGGACGTAGTACGTAATATAATACATAACCCGCTCGTCAAAATGACTTCTCGATTGCTACTAAAACCTGAGTTGAAATGCGAGTATCAGCTGCTTAGTGGGGTGCCGGCGGGTTAACATGCTCCTTGACTCAAGAAGCGCTTGCTTAATTTCTGTAATTTTCGTGCAGCCTGTGTTGTTGACCGAGCTGTTTCTTAAACGCGGATACGCACAAAAGCTCGATTTCGCGGTCACACAAGTGTCCTCGGTCACATAAGTGCGGTCACATAAGCGCCTCGACCATGCAGTCGCATGGTCGAGGCATGCGAGTTGGCTGAAAATTACTGTCAGTGAAAGAATTCTGCAGTCATTGCAGCTTTCCTTAGATGATCAAAACTGATTAGTATATTACCGTCTCTCCAGAGCCCATAGTTTCGGTTTTGAACGAAATCTCCGCAACGAAAGTCTGACATGAAATAACAAAAAACACCGGGAAAATAAAACTAAGCTCTGGAAGTTTATGCGCACCGGCTACACTTAACCGTCTCAGTTCAAATACCTATAAAATTGTTCATTGAACAAAAGAAAATTGGTTAAATTGGACGCGCCACCTGTTCAGGCGGCCCGGCCGAGCCGACGCGACCTGGACTCAGCCGCCATGTTTGTTTGGTGGTGGCGCCCCCTATAGGTCGCTGGAGTCGCGAATATGTGTTCAAGGCGGAGAACAGTGATCATATAACTGAAGGGCGTCCCTAAGCTGACCCTGCAAAAATAACTCTGTTGCGAAGGTCAAACACAGATCGTCTGTAAGAGCTCGATCTACTTTTATAGGGGGTAGTTGGAGCATCCATCAAGGGAGCCATTATATTGCTGTGCCACTGAACATAGCGTATAACAATAACACAACTGCTCTCGATTGCAGCTCTATGTTAAAGCGAATGCTCAGAGTTAGGGAACCCAGATATATTTACGCGTGTAAACACTCCTTTTATACTTCGCCGTTTTGTTGCATAATACCTTTCATCTTATTTTATTTTAGTATTTTAATACATTTTGTTAGATTAAGCGTGCCACCTAAAGCATGCACCAGATCATGTTTCTGACGTCATGCCGAAAAGGCTACCGCTGGTTGCGGAGTATCCCTCGCGCAGACGCTTAGCACTTCTAAAAAAAACAGAGGTTCCTGCGTCTGAGCAGATTTTCAGCCTCAGTGAGTTTTTGTATATTGCTTCCATTTATAACTTGCTTCTGTTCATGATTAATGAATCGGTGCATACATTCCTTGTGAACAAGGTCCCTGAGTGAACTCATCAATGGAGCACGAGTATAGGCAATCACAGCTATCTATAGTTTAAGTTAGTTAGCTTACCATCCCTGTCAAGAAACCCCGTATAATTTTTTGGTATCTGAATTATAGAACTGGAATTCTGTCAGGATTCTCTCTGGACTAGAGGTTTTCAGAAATTCCTTTGTCAGCAATCTGGAGTTCAGGTTTCCAGAAACAATTGCAGTTAGATTGTCAGTTCAATAATTCAGACAGTGAAAAGGTATACTGGAATTTTCGGCTGGGTGCCATGAAGAAGCTTTCTGAAGTACACCTGGTTCGGAAGCTGGAACCGCCGAAACGTTGAGGAAGAGGACGCACCAAAATAAAACAGTATGGAAGAAAGGCGGCAGCTCATCGCCTTCAGTATTTTGATTCGATACTTCTGAGCCTGAACAGCTCGCAAGCACTGTTAGGGCTTTCGTAAAATAAGGAAGAATGAACCAGTGTATTGACCCTTTCTTTGTACCATACTTTGTTCCAGACTAAATCCAACCATTGGGAAATATCTTTTGGAAACAAAAAAAAAACTTGAACGGCCAAGGGTTAATTGCCTAGCGCAATAAACACCTGCGAATTTATATACCTTTCTATCGATCAGCCTGGTTTAGCTTTCCTGAAATCAATATGATAAATACACCAAGTTGCAGTATGCGTTTCCTGTGATGCTAACTCTAAGTAACATATTATTTAAATTTATAACTTCAACTGAAGTCAAAGAAATCGACCTAATTCACCACAACGAGATTCTAAAATAAAATTGCACAGAAGTTGATAGCTCGCCTTGATATTGTAAATTTTTCTGCTGGCATTAAGCGCATTAAGTTATTTTTCATTTCTTTCTATTCCCATTCCTTAACTGGGGGGGGGGGGGGGGGGGGGGGAGTTGAAAATAGCTAAAGTGACAGTAAAATATACTTATGCGAATAAGATTTCAAAACTGTTTTGCACTATTTTGTAATGCCTGAATTTTATTAAACAAAAATTGAAAACATTGTTACTTATATATATATAACAAAAAAAAACATACATTTTGCAAGGTGAGGGGAGCTTAATTCGTAATTATGGCGACGGTAGGGTGCGTATGTTTTATCCAAGATCATATTCATGCTTCAATTATAAAGAAGGTGCACCTTTCTACAAACATTTTATATTATCTTATTTGAAAGTTTGTTTCTGGTTTTGTTTTCTTGAGCTTCAATGAAAGATGTTTACTGAGGGCTGAGGCTAGAAAGTTGAGAGATGTTAAGGATAGAGCTAACAACCCGGATGAGAATCCTTAGCTCTCGACTTTAAAGGGATACTACAACGAAAATTCCGCGCTCATTTTTTTAGTCAACATGTGTTCAAAGGACCAGTATCACATCGAAAATACCAATATCTTGTTAAAAAGTCTCGAAAAGGAATTTTAAAACGAATTAAACGATTAGCAAAGAGCACCTGGTGGATGTCGCTAACCCCTTGTTTATAATGCACGTCTAGGAACCTTGACAGCTAGTGACGGTGAGTGTGTCGCCTCCGGCCACGACGAGAGAAGAGGGGCAGGAGGAACTCCCCTCATCCCGAGAATGCCTCTTGTGTGTCGCAGAGGTCGCTATTGTCCCCCTACAAGATTATAGAAGATTAACCCGTCACTCAAAATTTATACAAAAGCAGCCGCTTCGGTGGCTGGAACGACTAGGCCATTCTCTCGACGTCAGCCTCGCTGCAGCTTTGCTCGTCCCGAGATGACCTACGCCACGATTGCGTTGGATGTCAGGTGGTCTCTGAAACGTCGACCAGACTCGCCGGTGGCCGGGACATGAAAACATGGTTTATTGGCAAGCGCTCTCTTTTTACCTCCCGCGCCGGTGACGTATGTCCGGCACGGGCATGCGCTGGAACGCGCCGCTCCTGGTTGCGGTGACGCAGCCGTACGGCGATACAGCATCCCCTCCCCCCTACAAGTTCAAACGGTCCGGCGGCTTCCGCAGGCGCGTAGAGCGCCTGAGAGGAACCGGGTCTGCTGTGGGCGTCACCTCGGGATCGCCGTTGGTGGCGACCTCTCTTTCGTCGGTGCTGGGCGGCCTTGCTCCCACCTCCGACCGGCCGGCGACTCGACGTGCCTTGTCAGCGCCTTCCGGGGACCCTGAAGCGTCTCGAGGTCGCAGCTGGTCCAGGTGCCGTCTCTGTTGGCCGTCCGGTGTGCGTAGCGTGACCATGCGCCGACCCTCACTGGAGACCACAGTCCCCGGTAGCCATCTCCGCCTCGGCTGGAACTGGCGTGACCAGAACGGCATTCCTGGCGAAAATGGCGGTGGTGTCGTGGCCGGGGCTTGCGGCTCGACCACGCTGTGCTGTGCTTCCTCGCCCCTCGAGAAGAAGCCGGTTAGCCTTGTCCTGGGCCTGAAGCCTAACAACAACTCGGCTGGCGACTTGCCCTCTTTCATAGGGGTAGATCTGTAAGGACACAAGAACCTGGAAATGCGATCTTGCAACGAGCCTTCCCTGTTCTTCTTTAGCCCCTCCTTGATCGTGCGTACTGCCCGTTCGGCTAACCCGTTCGACTGAGGGTGGTAGGGCGCAGTGGTGAAATGACGTATATGGTTCCCTTGTAAAAATCGTGCCATCGCTGCACTTGAAAATTGCGGCCCATTATCGGAAACCATTGTTCGTGGCACTCCGAAACGCGCAAACAGTTCTCGGAGCACTCCAATTGTAGTCTCGGCCGAAGCTGTTTTGAGTGATATGGCTTCAATCCACTTTGTTTCCGAGTCCACCAGTACTAGAACCATGTACCCTTCCAGTGGCCCCGCGAAATCCAAGTGCAAACGGGACCACCGTTGGTGGGTCTCCGGCCACTTGGAAGGAACCTGTGCCGCGGGCATCGTCCAACACTGTATACATGTCGAGCAGTTATTTAGCAGCTTTTCGATATCTTTGTCTAGACCAGGATACCAATAGAGGGAGCGAGCCAGACGCTTCATCGCAGTCATTCCCGGGTGGGTATCATGCAGTTCCGTCAGCATGAACGCTCGCGCAGCTTCCGGTAGAACTACGCGATGCCCCCAGTAAACCAGGTCGTGGCTCACTGTGAGTTCTTACCTGCGGCTGAAGTACGGTAGGAACTGGTGCTGCTCCGGGCGCAGGTGCGACGGCTATCCGGCGTAAATCCAGGCTTTTACTTGGCGAAGCAGGCTGTCCCGCGTAGTCAGGGTGGCCATCTGCTGGGCGGACATAGGTTGGTCGTCCCACCCCCGCGTGTACAGCACATATTCCGTGAGCACTTCACTGCTGCCCTCCTCCTGCGCCGGCAACGGGAGACGACTAAGAGCGTCTGCATTCCCATTGTGGTTTCCTTTTCGGTACTCGAGATCGTACTGGTAGGCTGCGAGTAGTAACGCCCAACGCTGTACTCTAGCCGCCGCCATTTGTGGAATTGCTCTTTCAGGGTGGAACAGCGCTGTCAGCGGCTTGTGGTCTGTGACGAGCGTAAAGCGGTTGCCGAACAGATAATCTCGAAACTTGGTAACTCCAAAAACCAGCGCCAACGCCTCCTTCTCGAGCTGTGAATAATTACGCTCTGCCTTCGTCAGCGTTCTCGACCGGAACGCTATGGGGTAGTCTTTCCCATGCATGCGATGTGACAACACTGCACCCAAGCCGTCTGGCGACGCGTCGCATTCTAGCCGTAACTGTTGCCGGGGGTTGTAGTGAACCAGGAACTTAGCTTCGGCCATAGCCTGCTTAGTCTTCCGGAAAGCCCTTTCCTGATCCCCGTCCCACTGCCATTGCGCTCTTTTTGCCAATAATCTATACAAAGGGGCCAAGGTGGTTGACAAGTTGGGCAAAAATTTGGCGTAATAGGTGACAAACCCAAGAAAAGACTTGAGCTGGCTTACCGAGGTCGGTCTTGGAGCTTCGGTCACTGCCTCGAGGTTGGTCCGCTCCGGATGAAGACCTTGGGCATCGATTCTGTGGCCCAAAAAGGACACTTGCTTCTCCCGGATACGGCACTTGGCTCGGTTTAACTTCAGGCCGTTTTCCCGTAGCCGCTGCAGCACCTGCCGGAGTGTCGACGTCTCGTGTTTCTTTTCTGCGATGACGATGTCATCCAAGTAGACTTGCACCCTTGGGAGCCCTTGCAGGAGGGACTCGATGCGCCGTTGAAACAGAGCCGGTGCGGACGCAATGCCGAAGGCCAGACGATTGTAACAGTACAAGCCTTGGTGCGTGTTCAGCACAGTCATCTTTCGAGCCTCTTCGTCAAGAGGAAGCTGATTGTACGCGTTGCGTAAGTCCAGCGTGGTGAAGAGTTCCCCCCCATATAACGCCGCAAAAAAGTCGTCAATTTTAGGCAAGGGGTATCGCTCCAGGTGTGTAGCTGGATTTACCGTCAACTTAAAATCCCCGCACAGTCGTATCTCGCCGTTTTTCTTACCGGAACAACAGGTGTAGCCCATTCCGACACGCTGACCGGCGAGAGCACGCCGTCCTTCTCCAGGCGGTTGATTTCCGCCGACACCTTGTCGCGAAGCGCGTAGGGCACCGGCCTCGCCTTACAAAAACGGGGTTGCGCATCTTCCTTCCTGTACAGCTTTACTGGTGGGCCCTGGCAGCACCCCAGCTTCTCTTCGAAAACGTCTGCAAATTCTTCCAGTAGGTCCTGCCCCTCTGCGCCGGCCTGCACCATGTTCACCCCAAGCGGTGCCCCAGTTTCTAGAAGCGGTGCCCCTGCGTCGTAAAACGCCCGCAGCGTATTCCTACCGCAAAGCAGCGGCCCTGGGCAGTTCACCACAATCAACGAGCTGCGCACCTGCGTCTGTCCGTACTGTACACTGATGGTGATCTTGCCTACAACGGGCAGCGGCCCCAGGAAGCACGACAAGCGTAAGGGGGTCGTTTCCAGGGCCGGCCACCGTTTACGGTGTCTTTTGAAAGCGCTCTCGGGAATTACGCTGACTGGGGAGCCCGTATCCAGAATCATTCGCAGCTTCCTGCCTTCCCATAGCAAATCCCGCTCTATCGGCGGCGTCGTGTCTTTGTTGGCTGTACTGTGAGCCACCAGGGCGTGAAGCATTTCCTCGCCACTCTCTTCCTCGGTGTTGATGTCCGCCAGCGGGTACGCACCTGGCTGGCTGGGCCGACTGTACTTGCACACCCTCGCCAGATGTCCCTTGGTGCCGCACCTGTGGCATATGGTCTTGCGGTGCCGGCAGTCGTCCTCGGAGTGGTTCGCGTCGCACCTCCAGCACCAGGCGCGTCGATTCGCACCGCTGGTTTCTTGTCTTGGGGGCCTCCGGTTACCCCGCCGACCTTGGACGAAATGTGTACCGCCGGCTGAGTCCTGGGGGGCCGTTCGCATTGCCCTGACGTTGTTATCGGCCATCTCAGACGCGATTACGAATTCCTCCGCCTCTTCCCGGCTCAACGTTTTACGCGTCAGCAAAACCCGTCGCGCTTCGTCATCCCGTATGCCGCAGACGATTCGGTCTCGCAGCATCCGGTCCAGGGTGTCGCCGAACTTGCAATGCTTCGCGAGCCGCCGCAACTCTGCCACAAAGTCTTGTACTTTCTCCCCCTCTTCCTGTTTCCGCACGAAGAACGAGTAGCTAGCTGCAATCTCGTTGGCTTGCGGGTCGTAGTGTTCTTCTAGATAGCCAACCACGTCTGCGTAGGACAGGCTGTTGATGGACGCCGATTGACAGCGGCCTTGCAGAATTCGGACCACGTTGTCACTTAGGGAAGACACCAGCAACGCGCGACGTTTCGCCGCGTCCGTGATACCGTGACCCTCGAAGTACGCCTCCAACCGGACCCGGTATGTGCCCCAGGTGCCTGCCGTCTCGTCGAACTGCGGCGGGCGTGCCGCCATATCGGTTTACCCTCGTCGCCACTGCAACGTCGACCAGACTCGCCGGTGGCCGGGACATGAAAACATGGTTTATTGGCAAGCGCTCTCTTTTTACCTCCCGCGCCGGTGACGTATGTCCGGCACGGGCATGCGCTGGAACGCGCCGCTCCTGGTTGCGGTGACGCAGCCGTACGGCGATACAGCAGTCTCCGCTGGACCTTCTCCGAGCGCTTGCCAGAGTGAGCCGTATATAGCGAAAAATACAGCCACCAGGATCAAAATACAAACGTGCGATTGTCATTTACGGATATTGTGGATCATATTCAACCTATGTTTCAACACGAAGGGAATATTTCAAATTTCGTTGAAGTATCCCTTTAAGGTAGAAGAAAATAATGCAAGCGGACTGCTCTGAACTGATGGCTTTAAAATAGCTGATGAATAAACACGCAAGAAATTATCTCGCACCCTTTGCACTCTAGCAACCGTTTTAAAAATCGGGATCACCCAGGTTTTTATCAAAATTACCTTTCTTTTTATCTTCAGAGATACACGAATAAAAGGGTGATGAATAGCAGCGGTGGATTTTTTGGCTGCGTTGAAGGAAAATATTACACTGCAATGTTGTGCTCTGAGCAATAAATAACGATAACACCACCATGATCTTCGTCTGTCAGTAATGTGTAACAGACACAAAAAGGGCTTAAAAACTCCTGTTTATTACGTTGAACTGTGTAAAAAATATGTAAGGAACTAAGTTTAAATATAGGCACTGAACCTTTAAAGAACGCGCGGCATAACAAGCCTCGCGGACCTTATTATACTTCCAAAGCCAATATTATTGTTGCATTTGCCGATAATATTGCCGAAGAACGGATTACAAATCAAGAAGTGTGAACATAATTGACCACGACCTGCGTTCCTTAAAGGGAACATGAAAGGATTCTGAAATCGAATTTTATACACCGACCGTCGTAAAAGGTGTGAAAAGAAACACAAAAACACAAAAATAGAAAGCGAAAAAAAATTCTTCGCTATAGAACTTTGAAAAGAAAACTGGACTCTTTTGCGCCTTCTTTCCTTCGAAAGCTCTCTGCCTTCTCACTGCAATGCATCCGCGGAATCGCTGCACGTCTGCCGAATCCACGTCGCCTATTGGGTAAGAGCCTACCTCACCAGCACCGCGATCGTAAACAACAAACAGCCGGCGAATGTTTCCTAAAAGTTTTGTTAAATAATATTCAGATCCAGATTTTGTAGCATAATTAGAGATGTGACGAAAATTGCCAAATTTTATAATGCTGAGAGCCAAGCGCCATCTATCGTGTGGTAAACGAAGCAGGGGTGGTAGGGCCGACAGCGTTGGGCTCAGTTACTCGCCGCGACGATCAAGGAACGTTTATTTTTCTACGTGTTCTTCTCGCGTGTCCCGACTTCAAGCAGCAAGAAAAATGTACTTGAAACAGACCACGACGAACAAGAACGCTGGATCCACAAACACCCGAGAAAAGCCAGAACGGCCACGAATTCACCGACCCGGGACCAAGCGAGCTCGGCAGATAGGCCTAGCAGGCACCCCGAAGCAGGCGCTCCGACTCCGGCGCAGCGTTGCTTCGACGGCACTTGGCCAAGACCGTCTGCCCACGACCGGCAGGCGTGCTGAATGGAATATGCCAGCCCGACCCTTGTGGACCCTTCCCGTATTTTGAACGCTGACCTCAATTATTGAATAAGGGTTGAGGTCAATCTCTTCCCCTTGTTTTCTGAGGCAGTGTTGACGAACACTGTAATCAAAAAGAGACTCCCGTAGATTCTATCTTCTTGTTTTGTGTGACATAGAGCTCAAGTAAACGCCGTATTGATTACCTTCGTAACACGATATGTACATTTTGTTACTAGTATGCCATTTTTATTCTGACAGACTGCACGTCACTGTCGAGCTATAACAGTTCGTGGGAGGTATACGTGCAATGCCGGTCCAACCTTCCTCAGCCGAGTGTCATGTCAGTATCAAGTTCCAATCGTAAAAGATTGGTCCCAAAGCAGTTACCAACAGCGCGAATACCGCACTTCCATCAAACCCGGGCGTCCGCTCCGAGTGTGAACAGGTATTTACGTGGCTCTTGCTGACACTCTCGTAGTTCAGACGTATTTTTTTTAACGTCGGCTGGTTCCTGCATCTCCGAGGCCGCGAAAAACGCCGCGGCCATTTGTCTCAATCTACGTCGCTTTGCAAACGACCTGACACGGGCCGCCTTTTACCAACAATGACAGTTGGGTTGACTTCTGGAGTCTTCACCGGAAGACTCGCCGCACTTCCCAACAGGCATACCGGTGTATGGGACTAGTCCCATGCTGTGGCTGTAGCGCAACATATCTAATTGAATCTCGCTCAGCTGCGATGTGTCCATGCTTATCGCGGCGATGAAAGGGGCCTATTCAGAAAATACATCGGTGACATCAGCGCCATCAGCGCAGTAAAACCTACCGGCACACCGCCAACTCGCCGCCGCTAACTGCCGCCAACGCTTTCACTCTCCTACTGCCGAGAGAACTTCCGGTTCCGGAAACAGGCTTCGTCACGGCCGTCAAAATTACGCCGCAGCTTCGTTCGCGGTCAGTTGGAGAGAAAGAAAAAGTCGATATTTCATGAATTGTTTTGTGTAGAAGTTAATAAACCGAGACGAAAGCGGATGCCGGTTCGGCATTCAGCGAACATTGACGGTTTAATGTAAAAGTTATCTGGCAAAAGTAAAAGGTAATTTCATGGTCCCTTTAAGCTATCATTGACTATACTCACTTAATCGTCTTCTGCCTTTCGTGAAGTGACCTATTTCAGTACTCTCCACTGCGTTCTTAAATTAAAATACTGGGGGTTGTGTGAAGCTGGTGATTTTACGAAGGCATACCCAGCCTGAGGGGCTTAGCTGTGTTCACACAGCGTCAGGTTAGCCTAATGTAACACGGTATTATAGTGAGCAACACATTACAGAGTGGTGCTAGCAGAGTTCTCTTTTGCGTGGGAGAGTTCTCGCTTGCGTGATACGACATTGTAGCGAACAATATGTCAAAACTTTTAAGATAATGCTCTCTAATGTAACAAAAGCATCACCGTGAAAAAATAATTAAAATCAATTCTCACTTAAGCGACACAGTGAGCAATGCGGGATCAATGTCAGGGCTGTTCTCCCCAGGATGACGTGATATCGTAGTCAGCAGGATGCGAGAAAGTCTGGAATTATGATGCCTTATTTGACTAGATATCGTGCGCAGTAAATCACAGCACGATGGTTCCCAACGCAATTCAACATATCGTATTCAGACGTGCAGAAAAACGCAACGCTGGAATAATAGTTTTGAAGGCAACACCATATTCTAGTCAGTAGTACATTAGCAGTGGCAGGATAATTATTTCGTGTTCTCTCGGGAAGCACTGATATAAACTAGAGTAACTGACTGTTGAAGAAACGAGGGGCGT